AGTTATGCGGTAAAAAAAAAAAAAAAAAAAGCCCCCGAAATTTCGGACGATCGCTCTTGCCAAAAAAAAAGAACACACGCGCGCGTAGGGATGCTGTTTTTTTTTTTTTGTTCACATGCACCGGAGTTTCGTGCGCGTCGATAAATATGTATTTTTTATTCAACAACGGGATATGTGAAAAAAAAACAAAAAAAAAAAAAACAGATATTTCGCTGTGAAAGCCACGCGGCACTAGTGTACGGTCATCATGAGATTACAGCGCGTCTGCCCCCCTCCACCTTTTTTTCATTTTCATTTTCATCCGGTACTATGTATATACACGGCTCGAGTGTACGCAGGTATATCCTCCCTTTGTTCGCGGGAAATGAAATTTCAGACGTGCGAGATATCGATTTCCAACGACTATATACGCGTGCACGGAAAATTAACCGCGGGGGCCGACCTTTGGGATTAAAATTTCATTATACGTGCGCGACGCCTTCTGTACTATACGTTACGAGACGAGGTGTCCTTTTTTTGTCTTTCAAAAGTTTTCATGCTCCGTTGATTCGTTCCTTACCAAAGAAAATCTCGGAGCATCATATCCAATCGGTGGTTTTTTCGTACAAGTAGAGACGATTTTTCGGGAAAAGAAGAGTCAAGCGACAGAGGAGTTTTCGAGGAAAAAGGGAGAGTCGCGACCACCCGTGGCTCGGACGGTCAAGGACGAAAGAGGAGACGAAACCACGGAGCTCACACTTACAACGTTTGGACGGCAGAACCACTAAACTCGTCGATTCTTAAAGACAAAACGATATGCGTTACGAAAAACTAAAACTCCATTTGGTCCTTGCAAAAGATTAAGCTCACTAGTTGATAAAACGATACGCATTTTATCCTTTAAAAAAACACTGAAAGGGTTATATTCTGGCTTGGGGTGCGCGAGGTTGGCCGACCGGTACTAACGGATTAGGAGTAATTTTTCGTGCACCAAAAAAAAAAAAAAAGAAAAATGAAAAAGCAGAGGTCCTGTACGCTACCGGCAGTTGAAAAAGTTGGCGAGTAACCCGATCAGTGGTTCCCTATATATGCTTTTTTTCCCTTCTTTTTCAGGTAAGTATAAACTCATTCGCACGGCCTCTCGTACAATGTACCGAAATTTGGCTCGGGACGCCCCACGCGCGTTCAATTACATCGTAAATACCCCCACAAAGAGTGAGGGAAGGAAGGGTAGAAACAACAAGGTTATACACACATCATATCACCCTCTGATGCGTTTCGGGTTAAGTACGTATAATATCCTCCCCTGCCCCCCTGATGCGTCTACCCCATCGACTCGACCGGCTCCGGTTGGTCGGCCGCGCAGCCTATTATCTCCCTTCCTCCCCTGCAGCCGTCTCCCCCTTCGCCGCTGCGTGTGCGCGTCTTTCAATGGCGTCCATTGTTTGAAGGAGGAACGCGTATCGATGCAGACTCATTATGCGCCGCCTACATTTTCCGGGTACGTATAATTGCCTCTGCTCGGGTTATGGGCATCGCCTTCTTCTTCTCGGGCTTTCTTTCTACCCTTTTTTTTTTTTTTTTTTTTCTGTTGAGGTGCAGGTTCCTCGGGAAGACTCGGTGGCTCGAGCTAATCATCCTTCCATCCATCGGTAAGTATATAGGAGCATCTCATATGGCGATTGGAGTACAAAGGTGTATAGGGTAGTTTGGGAATTTCCAAGAGGGAGAGAGAGGAAAAGTTGGGCGATGGTGTATACGTATATACGTGTATGAGCTTGGAAAACAATGCGGTCAGCCGCAAACGCATCGTGTATCGTGTATGTATACACATCGGGGGTATAACGCAGCTTTTACCTATACAGGTACATTTGCCGGTCTATTATGCATGTACAAGGAGGAGGAGAAGAAGAAGAAGAAGGTATGTACAGGATAGGGGGGAGGGAACGATGAGCCGGACAATGCGGCTATTGTTTCGGCTACTCTCATCTTAATAATACGAAGAGTGCCGATGTGCTGATGAATTTCGGGGCTGCATCCCCTCTCTCGTTGTATACGTGTGGGGTAATCGTAATATTTTTGTGCCCCTTCGTTGCAGAATGTGCTCGATGGGCGGGAAAAATGGCTCAGTTTTTTTTTTTTTTCGATCATCCCTCCGGTGCTTCCATTGTTTCGTTCCCATGTACAAAAGAGAAAAGCCCAATGGATCATCTGTACTTACCGGTTGGCTTACCACGCACGGCTGCATATACGTGTATTATACCGATTTTGCGCGATACCGGCACTTGCTCTGCTTATTCGGGCCGATTTCCCGATACGAGCGCTAGACGTAACGACAAATCGATGAAACGTCGCGCGCGTGTGTCAATGGAAATATGATTTATTCAATTTTTTGTTTTTTATTTTTGGTTTGAGTTACGGAGAAAAAAAAATATTACAATAAGAGACAAAGATCGGCAAAAATCGGTATTCCCTTTAACAGCGACCGAGCCTTTTCGGCTAGAGGGAAAACTCAACCCTGCTTTATCGTCGCTTTCTCAGGAGTACCGTTACGTGACAGAACTTTGGATCGCTCTTAAATACAAACAGGCATCGATTTTCGCCACCTGCGGGTCGAACCTCCTAGAAACCGGGTCACCTGGCGCTGATCTAACAAACTACGTGACTCTTTATATGTAGGCTAACCACCACCTGTTAGAAAGTAGTTATTTATACTCACTAAGTAAATAAATAGTAAAATTTCAACTGATTGTTAGTTAATTGCTGATTTATATGTGGTAGAAATAAAGCCACTGTATGATACGAATTAATCTTCTATCGATATTTCGAGTTATGAGTGAACTGTATTTTGTGATGCATATTTTATTTTTCATACAAATTAATATAAAACAGCGACGGAGAATCGTTACAAAAAAAAAAAAAAAAAAAAAAAAAAAAAAAAAAAAAAAAAAAAAAATAATTAAAATGACACAAAATTAATTAAACATTTCAATCACATGTTTCACATATAGGGTCGTCCAGAATCACTTAGTTCAAGCCGAGTACTGGCACGACCCGTTAAACGAAGACGTTTACAAGCAGAACAGTATCTTCTTGGCCGATATCAACAACGAGAGAAACGTTAATAAGGTAAACAAGAAAACAAAAGGTTTATCCCTTGTATTTTACGCGATATCGTATTAATCGTCTGATTTTGATGTGTTTTTTTTTTTTTTTTTTCTTCATCGTATAGACGTACATCGAAAACCTCACGAGATTGAAAAATTTCGTGCTGGTCAAGTTCGATAAGGACACAATGGTCCAGCCCGTAGAGACCGAGTGGTTTGGGTTCTACTCGCCGGGCCAGGCCGTGCAGACCGAAAAGTTGGAGGATTCGGCCATTTATAAAGAGGTAAGTACGTGTATTTTAAGTTTTTGCAAAAAATTTTTTTCGAATGAATTAAAAATAGCAAATTGTTTCCAAAGGACCGGTTAGGTCTGGCGGATTTGCAGAAATCGGGTAGACTTCACTTTCTGGCGGTCGACGCTAATCACCTGCAGTTTACCGACGAATGGTTTGTCAGCGACATCATCAGCGGGTTTTTAAAGTAAAAATTTTGATCGACTGCAGTCACCGCATACTATTTATTATACCTTTTTCGATGTTTTTTATTTGTGTCAAAAACGATGGTGACGATTATTTTTTTCACATCGTCTGTAAAGTGTGAGATCGATATATAGGAATACGTGTGTAATGCACTATTTTTGGTTGAAATTTTTTTTTTTCTTATCTTCAGCAAAATACTTTGCAAATTTTTTTTCTAACACTAACACTGATTTGTACTTTCAAAGAAAAAACAAAAAAACGTTTCATTTCAAATACTCGGCAACAAAATTTAATGCACGAAATTTAACACGCTCGCGTATTGAATAGAAATTTTTTCTCAGCATTGCATCATGTCCATGAAATAAGAATAATACACTTCAATCAAGCATAAATTTTGAAAAATCCACAAGTATAATATATGTATTGTACTGATAACAGCGATAATGCAGAAACTCGTGCTATCGACGCGCGTGGTAAAATATATGTACGTTTTACATTATTTTGCAAAAGAGGCTGGAACATGTGTGGAAATGAAAAAAAAAAAAAAAAGTTTTTTACCTTTGTACACGCGAAAGAGTTTTTTTTTTATGAATAAAAGAAATTAATAAAGCAAGTAATGCGCTGGGCATTATGCAACCCTACTGAAATTCTAAAAAATTAGAACCCGGCGCGCACACGTCGGATGAAAAAAAAAAAAAAGTGCGTAAAAACGAATATTCATGCGAGAGAGTTGATAACACGAGGCGCAAAGCAAAGAGTCAAGGCGAAGGGGGTGGCGGGGGCGTAACTTATACGTACTTATACGGTCAAAGACGAGGGAGGAAGAGATAGCGGAGAGAAAAAAAAAAAGGGGGTCGTAGCCATACATATACACATCCCTCTCTCGCTCCCCATTAAGAGATTACATTATGAGTTAGTTCACTTTGTACATACATGTGCGCGCTTCCTCGTCTTTCGCTCGGCCTTTTTCTTTTTCGTACGTTATATATGCACCCACTCCCTTTGCCGGCGATTGTGCGCCCATATCGCAAGATACGCTACGTAAACGAGATATACAAAGTGATGGATATTCGCTTGCCTCGTGGAGGCACTTTTCAAAACGAATGATGCGCCAGAGGCGCAGGTATGATGAGCCGCCGCTACCTTTTTTTTTTTTTTTTTTTTTTTTTTTTTTTTTTTCATACATACAATTCCTAAAATAAAAAAAAAAAATATAT